TAAAATTCAATAGTTGCATTATATTCCTGAAAAGAAAAAATGATGGGAATGGGAAGCATTAGCTTGGTTTTCTGATGGCTTTTTTCTTTACATTCAAGCAATGGAACTTGAAGTATTTCAAGTGTTAGAGGCGTAATAATGAAGTTGGTACCTTTGCTTTGAAGACAGAACGAACTTTGCCTCGTTTCACGGACTTCTTTTCTGGAGGTATAGTCCATTCAATCGTGCAAACGAACGATTCCCATTGATTTCTTTGCAGGGAATCCCCTGCAAAGAGTAGCCTCTTTCCTCGAAGCTTTTTAAGTGCAAGTTCTGGATTAAATCTACACAGAGAGAAACATAAGAAGAGAAGAAACTAAAGAACCAGTTTCATTTCCATGCATGAATAAATGTCTGAAAATAAAAATATCAAAAAGTTTCTTACCTAGGCAAGTTGCAGTCCTCTGGCTGCCACTCCCACTGACGGTAGTCGAAATCAAGCCGACCATTTTTGACGCAAGAAAATTGCCTGTCTAGGTATGGACAACTTCTGTCTGTGTACAAAGGCTTGATAGAGGGGTTGAACACCCACTTCCCATTAGCAATATTGCACTCTTCAGGGTCAAACTCGAACCTGTCATCGATTTCGGGGTTTTCTAAGTTCTCCACTGCAGTTTTATCCTCTGTTAGACAATGACAGTTTGACATTAGAATCTTTTTTGAGCTATGACTCTGAACAGGAAAAATTTTTCGATTAGTAACAAACCCCTGTTGAATCACTTAGCTATATAGTAACTTACTAGCTTTTACAACAGCACCTCTTCTACCACAGGATTTGGATTTGAGAACAGAATTTGAAGAAAGAAAACTTAGTCTTTCCGTATATAAAAGAGCAAGGAATGCAAAACTGCAGACCATAACTGTGATAATAGAAAGAGGTAGCTTTCCTCTGTAAGGTTTCATCATGATGGTTGAAGGAGATGCCGCAAAGCTCATGGTTGGAGGGAGAGCTAAGAGAATTGAACTCAATGGTGGGACAAAAGAGTATGAGCTGATGCAACAGAAATGACGAGATTTTTTTTTTTTTTTTTAATTCTATGAGTGTTTTGAGTAGAAGTAAAGCTAAAGCCAAGTATGGTTGGGGGCTTTAACATCCTTTTTAGCAAAATAGTGGAGGTTAGAGAGTAAGTTTAAAGGCTAACATCTTTGGACTCCTCTTGTCTTCTACCCTGTTGTGGAAGATAGATGATCTCAATAACCATTTCAGTGCCGTTGCCATCAAATTTAGCCGCTTTACAATTTTTTCATTAGGTGGGAAAATTAATGAAGTATTTGTTAACAACAGGAATCAGGAGTGTTAAAGCAATCTCTCATCTGTCTCTCTTTCTCCTTTGACTTCTTTGTGTTTGTGTTCATATACATCATTGCCGAATGTGATCAGTTTCCCGCTTTTTGTAGCAGGTGAAAGCTACCAATCGTATTGTTCCCGGCCGGAGGAAGCTGATATCGACTCATTTCCTCACAATATCTTTTACACTCCCTATTGTATATGTATATCAAATATATTTAGCTGTAAATGGAGAAGCACAGAGGAAATCCCACTAATTGGAAATGCCTTCTTTTGAAGGTACAGAGTCATCCTTGGCCAAAAAAAAAACCCAGACTCAACAGGTCAGATTCAACAAGCCATTGGAGAATATCGGCATGCTATCCTCGTGGTCTTTTTACAATTTTTTTACAGAAAAAAAGTCTCAATCTTGATCCCATATTCCCACCTTGTTAGGTAAAGATTTATCCTTTCTTTTTTTGTGTGATAAGATTGAATTTCTTTTATTTTTCCCTCAATTGGGTTGAAATCTGCATGCCTGCGAGAGTACCAATTTAAGCAAATAGCAATGGCTCAAAAAATACCACTCCTAGCATTCAACGAATCTTGTTTAATTATATACTTATTGTCTTTTGAAAGCACAAGGTGAGCACTAAAAGTGGGAATGACTATCCCTTTTTTTTTTTTTACATTTATATATAATTAAAAAAAATGACTCTTATTAAATTTTTTTTTTTTTCAAAATTGTGTATCCTTTTAACAGATTAATTAGGAGTCTCTTTCTAATTTGATTAAAAATAAAAATTAGGCATACTCTTTCTTCAAGCTTGACTAATTATCAATTAATAAAAAAAAATTCAAATTTGTTTTTTATTAGGAAGATAAAATGGTTTATTTACAATTTTTTTTTATTATTTTGATGTATGTTTGTCCCTGTTGCCATTTAAATTTAAGTAGGATGTATTAAATCTATGGTCGGATTTTTAGTTACGGTCCAAAGAAACGGAAATGCCTTTTATTCTTGTATTTTAAACCAAAGCTGAAACTTAAAAGAGTAAAAGATAATAGCACTATATATAAAGCCGTAATTTTTTGATAAAAAAAATTATAAAGTGTTGAAAAAATTCAAAGGGTGGTTTTGTCTCACGGGCTTGCGGCATTGGGGCTTGCTATTCGGCTGCCATTTTACTCAAACACCGTTCCATGTCTTTTTTTTTTTTTTTTTTTTTGGGTTTGAACAGGAGAGTTGGGCGCATTGGAAATTGTTAAGAAAATACCATAAAATTTGCTCAAACAATATGCAAGAATGACATAGTTGTTCCAGGGTTTAATGCATTTTTTTAGTGGGAAATCCAATTTGGTGAGGTGGGAGAGTTGCTATATGTACTTATATAAAATCTAGGGTGTCAGCTTCAAGATTTTAAAGAAATTCTGACAAAAAATTTTTTTAAAAATAGCTCGACGCTTTTCATTTTTTTCCTTTTTTGGTGCATAAATTGCATTGATGCTGGTGAATGAAGTCATAAATAATTTATTCACATGAAGTAGATAGGCCTCAGTCAATAAATTGACGCTTTAAGAAATCATTTCTGTTAGAGAAAGCAACGATCTAACATATCACGTCCATCGTCCTTAGCAAGCAAATTAAGTGCATGTTTCATTGTTTTGCCTAATATATTTTTTATTTGAAAAGCTTGTACCACTTGCTATATAGTATAGGAGAATTCCAACATGGAGTGAAGTTAGCCTGAAAAGGAATTTCTAAAAGGGCTTTTGCCTTTAGATTAGGCTCGGTTTCTAAGGCAGTTGAGCCTAGTTCTCAATCCAAGTCAAGCCCACACTCATTTCTAAGCCAGTTGGGTAATTAAATATAAAGCTAAGCCCACTTAATTCCTACAAAGGGTCAAAATAAAAATTGGAAAAATTTTTTTCTTTCGACTTCCAACTTCCAAGCAGAAGTGAAATATCCCGTTTTTAGACAACCTTTATTCCAAACTCTGTTTCGAATGGCTCTCCGCTTCATCTTCTTCACTTCTCAGACTCTCTTCTTATACTCCCTAAAATACCCCAATCGTTGACAGATATAAGGGGAGACATATGAGGATTTATATCTTGACATTAGTTCGCCATGCTGATGTTACTTGATCACTTTTGGGAAAAGGAGACTTAAACCTGAGAGGATCTGTGATGGCCATTAAACCATTATCATTGCACACTAGCAAATTTCTTCCAGCGTCTGGTCTGCTTAGTGGAAAATTGAGGGTTGCAGAGCAGACAACAGTGTTTGAGTAGAGTAGTATATGTTTCATCGGCTCAAATACGATTCATTCTGATAAAAACCCTTGGGTTGAAACTCATAGATTTTTCCATGCAATGCATAATGATCAACAAGTGTAAAGGATTGATGTTTTGTAAAATTGTTATTTTGAAACAATCTACCATCCATATTGGTGATGCAGGATTTCCAAGCAGTATTACCGTTAGTATTAGACTTGAATTTTATTCCATTGATAACAAAGAAGAGGAAGCAAGCACAGATCGAGCTTTGGACTATACCCTTGTTCAAATATTCAATGAGAAAACAGAAGCAGAGAAGCTAATCAAGGAAATAAATTGGACTGGTTTTCTAATCGAAATAATAAAATTACTTTTAGCCTCCAACGTTGTAGATTTATTAAGTTCAGTGATCCGTTTTTCTATGAGAATTAAGTTGTTAATGATTCCTTACCGACTTGGTCGGTTGGTCAAGTCATGACTGCTAAAATTGATTAAAAAAATAACTTGGAGGAGCTAGGTAAATAGGCTGTTTATTGTTTGGCTTTGACCAGACATGATTATGTTAACAAAAAATGCAATACGTCTTTCTTCTAATTGTCATAAAATGCAATACGTCTTTCTTCTTGTCATAACATAAAACAGTGACTTTTGCTAGTAAAATCACGTTATTCATATTAGTTTTTTTTGTTAAGCAAGTCGTACGAATCTAGAGTCTAGAGTAGACTCGTCCACCCCTAGATTTTGATTTTTCCCCGCAAATAATGTGGCACCTCGCAGGGAAGCGGATGGATATCGTGTCAGCTTCCTAATATGGCTGGGAATAAAGTTAAAACAAATTTTTTTCCATCTAATTCATACTATTTTGGTGCATTATTTTTTTTGATTTAATAATTATGGGAAATGAATAAATTATCAGTTGGAACTTGAATAATTTCCTTTATCAATATTATTTTTTTGAAATAATAAATCATCCAACTTGGGAATCTGACATGATTTTTTCAAAAATTAAAATCTTAAAAATTTCAGCTCCATTCAGTAGTTGCAACTTTTGAAATGATGGATCATCCAACTTTAACATATCAACATAAACATAAGAAGCACGTGTTGAGGAAATGAACAATATGGCCTTTGGGCTCCCTTAGGAAACCGACCTTCGAAGCTCATGCGAAAAAAATAAAAAAAAATAGATTACCGCCAGGAAGTTCCGTCCAAGACCATGGACCACGAATCACGAACAGGTCCAAGTTCAATGCTATTGCATTTGGAAAGAGATTTCACACAAGCCAAGCCCTACCTAACCACATAGGAAAAGTGAAACCACTCTCCAATGACAAGGACTGCACCCGCAGACCGCAGTAGCAGTACCAAGTCTCAAGTGATAATATTAAAAAAAAAAAAGTAACGTTTTGAGTCGTTTCCGCAACCCGAGAACCATAATAAAAGGGCACTTCAATGCCCACTTCTTTCTAACCAAGAAACGAGGCAGGAACCTGAACCTCAGTTTTTGCCTCTCTCAAGAACACAAACGTTCACCGCTATTTTCAGTTGTGTCGTGATCTATTATTGCTGAGGAGAGAGACCATTAAGGGAGGAATCTGCTGGCATCCAGAAATTTTACTTCTATCTCACCTTAATGTCGGCAACTTGTTTATTTGATTTCTCCTAGAACTTTTCCGTTTATTTTATCTTAAAGCCAAACGCTGGTTGAGCTTTACCTGGGTTTTTAATGGCGAGTTTTGTCATATCTGAATGTGGTTTAAAGCCTTATCCTCATATCTACGCTAGAACCGCCACTGGAGTTGTCTCAAGGAACTCTTCAAAGCCCAGCTTTTTGCATACAAACAAGAATTTTTCAGATCTAAAACCAACAAATCTAACCAAACTCTCAACTGGGGTTCTTAGAGACAGGAACTGGGGCCTAAAAGTGAGTGCTCCATTGAAAGTTGCATCCGTAGGAGGTGAGGAAAGAGAAGAGAGACTCCATGGTGTTAACGGGTTTGGAGAAAAAGAAGAAGAGGCAGGATTCGATCCTGGGGCGCCCCCACCGTTTAAATTAGCTGATATAAGAGCTGCCATACCGAAGCATTGTTGGGTAAAGGATCCATGGAAATCTATGAGCTACGTGGTGAGGGATGTTGTTGTGGTTTTTGGCCTGGCTGCTGCTGCTGCTTATCTTAACAACTGGCTTGTTTGGCCTCTTTACTGGGCTGCTGAGGGGACCATGTTTTGGGCTCTTTTTGTTCTTGGTCATGATTGGTAATTTACAAAATGCATACATCCTTCCGTTTTAGATCTGGCTGTCTCAATTTATATATTTATTTTCTTTTCAATGCTTAATTGGAATAATTCTTTGGATTTTGTTGCTCAATTTTGGATGCCCTTGATTTCTTTGTATAGCGGCCATGGGAGTTTTTCAAACAATGCGAAGTTAAACAGTGTAGTGGGCCATCTCTTGCATTCTTCCATTCTTGTGCCTTACCATGGATGGTATGCTCTAGATTTGAAATTTTTTTCTCTTCACAATTTGTATGTGTAGTTTAATTTATTCCATTGCACTGTAAATTTTGCATTATACTTATCAAGAATGTTTTACTTAAATTCGTTTCCATTATTATTAACTTTACAGGAGAATTAGCCATAGGACTCATCATCAAAACCATGGGCATGTTGAGAATGATGAATCATGGCAGCCGGTTGGTTAAGTTTATCTGTTCTTTCTGGTGTTGGTTTGGTCTATTTCGATGCCTTTGTTCTTCCTTTCCTGTTTCTACCTAGCATAAAATGTAAAACTTTTGTCAATTCTGTTGCAGTTGTCTGAGAAGATATACAGAAGTTTGGATAACGTAACACGAACATTGCGGTTCATGTTTCCTTTTCCCATGCTTGCATATCCTTTCTACCTTGTAAGTGTGTTGTAATTTGGTTGATAAATTTGATCCTCGATGTTGAGAAATTAATGGCCGTTAATTTTATTTACAGTGGAACAGAAGTCCAGGGAAGACTGGTTCTCACTTTGACCCTAACAGTGATTTGTTTGTTCCAAGTGAGAGAAAAGATGTGATTACTTCCACCTTATGTTGGACAGCCATGGCTGCTACTCTTGTTGGTTTGGGCTTCACAATGGGTCCTATGCAATTGCTTAAACTATATGGCGTCCCATACTGGGTAGGTTTCAACTATCTTTTGGTCATCTATTCTTTCCTTGATGAAATAATACAAGCATACGTATTTCTTTACCAGTTAGAGAGTACAATTTGACTTGACTTTGCTTTAATGTTAGATATTTGTGATGTGGCTCGATTTCGTTACATACTTGCATCACCATGGTCATGAAGAGAAGCTTCCTTGGTACCGTGGGAAGGTATGATTGTCCTGCCTTGCTCTAATGCATTCTGTCAGAGATGTGTTTTTATAAAGTTGAAATATTGGAGATGCAGAGAATGTTGTATGGAATTCCAAGGTTAATTTTGAACTTACAAAGTTAATGTTTCCTTAAAACAATATTTGGACAGGAATGGAGTTACTTGAGGGGAGGGCTTACAACACTTGACCGCGACTATGGATGGATCAATAACATCCACCACGATATTGGAACCCATGTCATACACCATCTCTTTCCTCAGATCCCGCACTACCACTTAGTAGAGGCTGTGAGTACCTCTCTCATATGGTTTTAACTGCTATATTCTTCTAATTATATCGTCCCTAATTTCTGTTTTAATGTCATAGACTGAGGCGGCTAAGCCAGTTCTTGGAAAATACTATCGGAAGCCAGAACAATCAGGTCCTCTACCTTCTCACCTGATTGGAAGTTTGATAAGAAGCTTGAAGAAAGATCACTATGTTAGCGATACTGGAGATGTTGTCTACTACCAAGCTGACCCAGAGCTTAGAAACCCTTTTAAGTCTTAAGTCAGCTTGATGCTTCATAAAATTCCTCAACAAGAATATGGGGTGAGTTGAAGCTCTTCGCTTGGAACCTAATTACTTAACCTTAAGAGATCTAAGCATTGTTTTTGTATTGCCATGGTAGGGCCATAATCAAAATTCATATAAAATCGTTTGGGGGAGGGTGGGAGCCATATAAGTTAGGTTATTTTTCTATATTGGCATTCTACTAGTAAAGGAAAATGTATATTCATTCTTTTACAAGAGAAATAGCAATTGCTCAATTGAATCCCATAGAAAAGGAAATGAAAGAAAGGAGTTCAGAACTGAACGAGTTCTTTCTTACCTTTCTACTGTTTTTATTCTTTAGATTATGTGTTTCCCTCTGGAACTTGTTATTTTTACCCAATAGTTAGGTGATAAAAGGCGAAATAATGAATCACATCCTGTTACATCTGCACTTTTGGAAGTGGTCCCAATGAGAAAAAAAAAGGTGGTGCAGATCAAATTTGTACCATACGCTCGTTATCAAAACCTATCATTATAATTTCCCACTATTCCATTAAATGGGTAATGATACAACGAACAGATCTTTTATAAGGTGATGAATCACTATCAAAACTCAACATCATTTACCGATAATCCTCTGACAAATGCTCCTAAATTGGCAAGTTACGCTCAAAATTGTTCTCAACCACCATCTGATATTTTTATTTCTATATTTCTAGGATTATTATTTTTCTTAAAAGAATTACTATCAAGCAAGGAGAGAAAACCTTGACATCTCAATTTTATCAAAAACAAGCTACAGAAAGACGGCCGGATGTAAAAATCTTGTATTTGCACATGGATGTTATTGCTACATGGCCTGGGAAATCACATTGCAAACAAAAAGAAAGATTTTCATTCTTTTCTTCCCCTAGTCCACAAACAACGAAAATCATATACCTAAATTCTAAAACCTTGAAGTGCTGACCATCAATCAAGTACTTGTTTTTTGTTAGATACATAAACATACATATTAATTAAGTATCTTGATACAATATAATTCTATTGTTTAGGAAAAGCATTATTAAATAAAAAAAATGTTTAGGCAAAGTGGGATATTGGAGCCTCCTAGAAAAATGTTTAGTACAGCAGAAATGTTTGTTGATAATTCACTGGATTATCACTGTATTAACCTTGGAGGCTTTGAGCGTCTTATTAGCCACTTACCCAATGGGCTTTCAAGTTTCAATAACCGGCTCTGGCCCAAGAAGGTTAAGTGGGCTAAAGCAAAAAAATTTCAACATAACACCCAATTCACATGAAATGAAAACCCAATATGAACAACGTAATTTCCTAGAAGCCGTCTCGATCGGCAGGAACCAGAGTCGGTGGCTGGCAAATACGTACTACAAGAGTCAAGAACACAATAATCCGTTAGTCTCAGCAAAGATTTGAAGGACATCAAAGAGTCCACAATTTCTGCTGCCAAAAACCTGCCTCTCATTCTTTTTTTTGGTAAAGAAATAAACAGTCAACTTGGTCCCCCTATTTGCGATCTTAAATACTATGGCCAACGTGAATCAATAAATAATGTAGAGACCGATGACTGCAGACAATTTGTCTTAATGCACTTTCCGTACACTAGATACCCGAGTTAATTGCGCATAGGTCTATCATTTTTCTTGTTTTCTAATGTGAACTCGACGACCAAACCCAGCCCTCTATAATATATAGACCGACCTTATCCTATGAATCAATACAAAAAATTACTCATTTGTATGATTCAAACTCAAAGCCCTGTTTTTTTCCCTGGGTTAGGTTGGTTTTGCTGGCTATTTTTTGAACCATTCTTCAGCAGAATCATCTCAGTATCCTACAAGCAAAATTTGTGCCTCTCACCAACTTTAATACATTTTTTGCTTTTTTTTTCTCCTATTGAACCATGAGTAACACAAAAACTTCTAGTTCTGGGTGTTTTTCGGCCGTTTTGCGCCGTCTTCTCTGTTCAGGGAGTCCTCAAACACATCCATCAGACCACATTATAGAGTTAAACACTGTCGATGATCATGTGGCTGAGGTTCAAGTCCAAGCTTCTGAAAGTGGTCCTGGAATAGTGGCGAGGCTAATGGGTCTAGACTCATTGCCAGAGAAAAACTGGGTTCAGAAAGGTAAAACTCCAGATGCAGTTACGCGGAGTAGATCAGTCAATTTCATGGATTATATGCTGGAGTTTGATTTATCACAAGCCAAACACCGCCGGGTGAAAACATCAGCGTCGTTTCGTGAGGTACCTCAAGGTCCGCAACTGTTGCAGCATTATCAGAATCATGAATACTTGGTTGTGTACTTGGATAAAGTGGATAAAAATAATGAACCAGGATTTAAGACTAGGAAATCCGAGAAAGGAGATGGATCAAGTAGTAAACATGCTAAGCAAAAGGAGAACGTAAGACAGAAAGTAGCTTGTAAGAAGCAGAATCAAGAGAAAAACAAGAAGATATCTACGCTTAAAAATGAGCCAAGGAGAGTTTCTTCTGGTAAACGTTCTTTGAAGGCTGGTAGCCGCGTTACTGGGGCCAAGGATGTTCAGATTAATTGTGGTGTAAACTCAAAGGCAAAAAGTCCATTGAAGATGGTAAATCAGAAGGCAGTACCTGCTGTGACGAGAAAGAAAAAGAATCAACGTGAAGTTAAGAAAATTGAGCACAATATTGAGAATAAGTCAGAGGTTTCAAGCCCAGTTTCTGTCCTTCGTGTAAATGATTTTTCAGCCCACCAAAACAACGGCATTTTAGGTTTGTGCTTTAAATTTCATTTTCTTTTACGAGTTTCGAAGCTATATCGGCTTCTCTGAGTTCTGCAAAATCGGTACTGTTATTGCCATCTAACTTGATTCTTCTCAAATTAATTTTTTCTCACAGAAGATTCAAGGTCGTTGGAATTGAAGTCAGAGAAGAAAGGCTCATCAAAATCAGTGAAATATGACTCTCCCACTATGGATATCAGTGCTCGAATTTCAGGTATTGGAAAGCAGGAATTTAGCAATAAGAATTTTGAGTCAACGGATATCGAGGAGACTGAATATTACATGGAGTCGATGGGTAGGCCGTACAAATTGACAGAGGAAGATATAAAGTTCTCAAACTGGATAACCAAGAATGTTTTCACGTTTGAAGGCTTTGAAGAGATATGTGAGGAGTTTGGGGAGCAAATACTTGATCTCATGTTGCATCAGGTAGCTGATGAACTTGTGGGATTTCACATGCAAATTACTGGAACATGTAAGGCTTGAAAAAACTTGGTCAAAATTTTGTACAAAAGCAGAGATTCTATATGTAAATCTCTAACTGGTAAACCTGAAAGTAACATTTGAAGGGCAAATCTCGTGTGAAAGCAGTTCGCCGATTTCGAGTACTGGTCCAGTTGTCTCAGCAAGCTGATTGCCTCAAGGATCCAGAGTCACGTGGCCTAAGAATATGTAGGAATGATACGATAGTTCAGCAAATGTAAACTTTGCTAGTAATAATTTAAAAAACGGCAAGAAGATTCCTCGGCGTACATGTGGGTCTCATATTGCAGCTTGAGGCAATGAATGTACATTTTCCAATATTCCTTATAGTTGAGTGTTACATGAATTTGTGACTATCATGACTAAAATTTTCTGGGGTGTTCATAAGAAGATTTGAGCAGGAGTAAAGATTATTTCTGCCCCTAGTAGAACTAGAAGCTGTCTAGTGATGGATTCTGCTATTTTCAGCATAGATGCATTATAAATTCTGCATATTTTGTTATACAAATCTCTAATGCCAGAACTAATCAGCACCTATCATTTCAAGCGCAATGCTCCGGTAAAGATAATGGACCACTGAGGAATTAAACCATCTCCTGAAACACTGACCTCCTGATTCAGCAAAGTTTCTTTCCCTCAGTCGCTTCCCTCTGTACTTATCTTTGACTGATTCACTATATTGTGGAGCCAAACTGATTAAAATAGGACATGACACCATATATGATATAACCTCATCTCAAGAGGATTTATATTGGGTGAAACCAAAACTAATACGTGTAGCAAAGGCAAAGGAAAGACCTTTTTCTTTAGAAGAAAGGCGTTGTTTGTTGAAAATATTGACTTAAATTTTATAAGAGATTTGTTTGAAATTTGTTAGAGATTTATTTGAGATTTGTCAGATATTGCTTGATGGACAAGAAGACTTGTAAAAGAAGAATTTTAAGAGAAATATGATTCTTAATAGGTAAGTTTGACTTGCAAGAGAAAAATTTTAAAAGAAAAAAGATTTTTAATAGGCAAGTTTGAGTTACAGGAAAAGAATTCTAAGGGGAGAGTGATTCTTAATGGGCAAGTTTGTATAGTTATAAATAGGTGAAGTCTCTATAAGATTAGGTATGAGAAAAAGATGTAAGAGAGTTATAGGGTTTTGTGGGATAGACACCCCATAGGAGTATTGAGGCTCTACGTCTTATGGGTTTGTATTTTTATTTGTGAGTGGTCTTATGGGTTTGTATGTTTGTTTGTGAGTGGATTAGAGGAGATTGAGAGGGTCCACATAGGTATGGTGTATGGGAGCATATGGGTATGTGTTTGGTTATGTTGAAAGGGTGTACAAAAGTTTGAGTTTGTGTTTGTTTGGGTTGAGAATACTCCATAGGATTAGAGGAGATTGAGAGTGTCTTATGAGTATTGATTGTTGAGTGAGGTTGATGATTTGATTAAGTTTGTAATTCTCTATAACTAGTGGATCTTGTTTTTCATCTGTGTATGTTGGTCAGTTGGACCGAACAACGTTAAATTGTTATCTCTTGTATGTTTGATTTATTGTTTAATTTCGCTTTCACTGATATGATTGGATTGGAAGCTTTTAGTCCAACAAATAATATAAAGCTGTGGTGATTCCAACACTGTTTTGTTTCGATCCATTGAAATCTAAAATATGACGCATAAACAGATGCCCCTGATTCCTGAAACTTCAGACTGGTTATAAAAAGTCAAGTTTAATGATTTTCAGAAGACAGAAGTACCATCAAGTTATAAGAGCACAAGACTGAAGAAAAAGAAAAACCACCCATATTTAGCAGGTCACCATGAATCTAGAGTGCCAATATTTTGGACAGCCTCTACCACTTTCAAGTTCTGCAATAATTGTTGGTTTTACACAGTTTAATCTTGGAATTTGGCTCTCTTTTTTCAGCTTCTTGAACAAATGCCCTTTAAGAGAACATCTAACTGGCTGATAGAAAAAACTGACTTAAAGACTACATAAATGTAGAATGAAGAAATCAGAAAGATTTGTCAAGCAGCTAATAATTATTGAAATTGCGGAAGCATCACTACAGAAACCTCAACTCTTGCCCCATGCTCGACTTCTCCAATCTTGATCAACGTGTCCAGTTAGGTCCACTATTTGAGTCATCATGAGTTGGATTCAACAAATGTCGCACCTATATATTAAAGAACATGCTCCATCAAATATGGCCAATCATTATCATTATAATCAGCAGAAGCATTTCCCTAAGTATGCTCATAATTGTTGACGGTTCCAGGACCAGGAGCAGATGAATTGATCATCACATTTGGTTCTTGCCTTCCCTGCAAGCTCTGGCTCATATTTAGAAAGACTTGATGGTTGGAACGCGATCTCGATGGCCCTTCACCCCCATCAACTCCACCAGTAAATCCATAACTATCGATGTTTGCATGAGAGAATGTCAGCATATTGTCTTGCCTTAACTGCATGCTATGAATAAAATTAAAATGTAGAGTCTGGTTTGAACTAGATGGGCCTGCATACACAGCATTTCCAGGAGCTTGCCCATTACAGTTCATGATTGCAGGGGTAGATGTATTGATCAACGTATGCGGTACTTATCTTCCAGATATGCACTGGCTTATATTGCAATTGACAGATGACCTCTCCTCATCTCTAAGTACCGCCATTCCTGGCCCCAATTGGTGCATTGAAGAGGCATTGATCGTAGAGTGTAGATGACCTAGACCATAGGGCACTGTTGAAGAAAGAACTGATTCATGAATCATGACTATATAAGTTTTGGTAGGTAGAATTATTCACCCCGAGTCTTGCGAGATCTTCATATTGATAATAATCACCGGTGGGAGGTAATGTGACCAAGCTTGAATAAGTATGGATAGAACCACGCTGGGATGAACCGATCACAGTCATGTTGTTTGCATCAATATTAGTTACAAAAGATTTGGTGTTGATTTTACATCTTTCTTCTTCCATCTGAGCATAGGGATCAAGGCTACGCATTACTTCTGCACTATGAGTATGTGGCAGAATGGTCGTTTCCGTGATGATCCTTCGTTGCAATTAATCTCGGGTCGTCTGATTTACAAAAGGGTTGTGCCATGAAGTGTTTGTTATAGTTCAGTAGCTAACTCAGTTTTAACCAATTGTACAATCTTCAAAGGGAGACACATGCCGGTGGCTGATGCCTCTTGAAATTTCATACCAGTAAAAAGAAAGAAATTATCAATTAATTTCCAGAAAATATGATTGAAATCGGCATTATAGAGTTTGATCTTATAATTTCCATCTGTATCTGCAGCTCAATGCTTAACAAAGGAATTATCAAATGGATCTGTCAGCAGCTAATTAACTAAGAAAATGGTGGTCGAATCAGTTAAGAAATCTCAATTCTTGGCTTACGGACCTAAAGCTTGCTATGTATTAACTATACAAGGCCTCTGAGCATTTAGAGCTCCTTCAATCTTCAGGTTTTTTATCCTTATTTTTCAGTCTCCTGGCCACATGGATGAATTCAGGAATCACTTCTTGCTCATTCAGTGGTGGCTGTGAGGCAAAATGCAACTGTACAGCATTGAGCATTTGTTCCCTTAATGAATCAGAATTGACGCCCTCAATTTTGAAGTGCCGTATATATCTTTTCAATGAATCTGTCTCTAGTCTAGCCAAGTTCACTTTCAATTGAGCACCATGTTCATACATAGAGACGTCTCCACTCGAGCAATGGCCTTCTTTATTAGGAACTGGAGGATTTTTCCTATACACTGATGAATCAGGTTCAGGTCCACCATGTTCATACACAGGTCCAGGTCTTTGTCCTCTCGACGAGTCAGGTTTGACACGCTTCACTTTGAAGTCACTTATTGTCTTTCTTAAGTCTTGATCAGAGTCTTCTGCCTCTAGTTGTGCCTTGTTCACCTGCGGTTGAGGCCTGTGTTTGTTCTTAGAGGCATCTCCTTCTGCATCAATGAATTTTGGAATCACTAGTTGCTCATTCAGTTGTTGCTTTGAGCCAAAATTCTTCCGCAGAGTATTGAAGATTAGTTCATATATTGTATCAGAATTGATGCCGTCAATTTGTCCTTCTGGTGAATCAGGTTTGACAACACTCATTTTGATATCACTGATTGTTTTTCTCAAGTCTTGATCAGAGTCTTCAGCCTCTAGTTGTGGCTCGTTCAACTGCGGTTGAGGCCTCTGTTCATTCTTAGAGGCATCTCCATCAGGGCAATATTGTTTCTTTCTATCTGACCCTTCCTCTTTGTAATTCTCCATGTTGTTGCTGCTCATCTTCAGTTTGGTAATCAACCCACTTACTGCAACATTACATTGTAGAAATTATCACTTCTACTAGTGAGCTCAACGCGCAGGACACGAATAAAGGCAAAGGTAAAGTATCAGCTATCGGGCATTACGATAAAACACAACCATGTAAGCGAAGGAGTCGCTTTCAGTTTATTCAAGTTCAGAGTTACATCGTTAATGTTTGCGAGCTTGCTTGGTTTCCAAGGTAACTGAGCAAAGATAAAAGGAAACGAGATCATCATCTAATTAAACACTGCTAACTAGACTACAGTTGACTGATACTACGATTCCAATTTCTAATGAATTTTTCTTCTCTTCGCATTTTTACTTTCTTGTGCACCAAACATAATATTAAAGCTAAATGAAAACCAATGTACTATTTGATCCATATACATTCGAGAAAACCTTTTTCTTTTGTCGTAATAGTACATAGTATAATTCCATCTGGGTTTCCATTTTCATCGTAGTATCAGCATCATCAGACTCAAAATTAAAGGGAAAAATTGCAGAAGAATATTAATAAATCAAGAAGCAAACCCGTAAACCCAGAAATTAAAGAAATCTACCCAAATAAACAACTCTCCAAATCAATTCTACTAATGCTTTTGGTAAGTAATGCAACTTTGATCACCCTTCGAACATGTTTCACTTTACATAATTAAAGTCAAAAGCAAACACAAGATTTCAAAGTACATTATTAATTTCCTGCGGTTTCTCAACAACCAAACAAGGGAATATTAAAAAGCGCAATTTATTATTAAACCCCAGATATACTAAAAAAAAAAAGGCTCCCAAGAAAATAATACTAACATATAATATGTACAACTTTCTTGATCAAGAGTCAAAAGCTTTTAAAACAAAATCGAAGAAAGCTGTCATTAAAAAGAAAATGGCTGATAAAATAAAACAAACTAGGAGGCAAAGGGTACATATTTTTGAAATGCACATGATTAGAGTTTGCAAATAGTATTATTAAACATTGAAAAACTTGGACATATGGAAGTGGAAATGAAAAGAAACGCAAAGGCTTAGATCACATTCCAAAAAATTTAAAGGAAGATTGTTGGAGAGATTGACCGTACGCGACAGAATAAGGAACTTGGAAATTGGAATTCAGAATTTCAGAGTTCTCTTTGTTTAGTTAATGGAAAGGCAGAGTACATGTATTTATGAAATATGAGGCTTTGACTGATCCCTCATTTAAGCAAGCGTAACGGCTCTTATTTGAGTTCGGCCGCTATAACGATAAAATATCATGCCACGTCATCACAAACCCAATGGGCTCATAGTATATATAAATATTTATTCCATTACCTTTTTATTTAACAATGAGATCAAAGGGCGTTCTAAGTCTTATATAAGAGTCTATTTTATTTAGAATTTATTTGAAAATTTTATATTTGATTTCCTGGTAATATATAATCTTATATATTATAATAAATCACTTCATTATTGATTAAATATAAATTTTTATAAATATTTAAAATAAATATATAAAAATCTAATGTTTAAATTTTTTTTATTAATGAGATAAAATTATATCATTTATTAATAATATATAAAATTTTTGTGAAAAAAATAAAATATAAAATTTATATATTAATAATACATTAAATAGAACTCTTTATTTTGAGGATCTCATCGAAGGTTACAGATTTTTTTGAGCGACTTATAAAAAATGATGAAAGGGGGCAGGCAATCAAAGTCAACGGGCAACTTGGCATTATGAATTAAATAAAGTGATCCGTCCCCCATTGCCATTGGATTTGGACCCACCTCAAATATTGTCACCCCATAAATCATAAAATCACTCTCAACCCGTTATCCTGGATTTGTAGGGTCACCGACTTCATACATAATAAGTCATTACTCTGAAAATCTTTCTTGTTTAGAAAAATTAAAGGCAAATATTTTTTTGTAAATCACTCTATAAAATCTGAAATTAACTTAAAAAACACATTTATCTCTCTCTATTAAAAAAAAAAAAAACCTTATCAAAGTGGATGAGTTCTATAATGAAAATATGAGAATAATACCCTGTATGGCAATCCTTTATAGCATGCTCTTCCCATTGAGAATTTAAAAATTTTAAAAAGTAGATAATGAAAACAACTCAAACAAATAAAATACAAAGAGAGAATAATTAATATGAGAGGATAATGGTGGAAAGTGGAAAGGTATTTGGATTAGAGACGCTAAAAAGGTCGTCAACTTGCCGAAGAGACGAACGTTGTGGTGTTCTTTTGCTTGCAGCCGAAACAATTGTGATTCGTGTAGAATCTTGCTTTCTCTCTTACATCATTTTACCTGACCCTTGATGTGATTGTTGCTAAGTATTACTGCTAATACTAATTTCAACGTCAGGATTGCTTATTTGCTTTATCACACTAATGTGCCCTTTTTATTTTAATTTTTTTGTTCGGTTTTGTCTGATCTTTCATTGAGTTCTTGTCTGAGTTTGGAAAGTTTGATTGAGGCTGAAAAGCATATATTTGCATGTGGTAGAAATTTTGAGTTGACAGATATACTAAGATAAATATGCGTTTATGTGATTAAACTTAAACCGGGAATGAATCTGACTTTATTTTTTTTGTAAGAGAATAGAAATGGTCTTTTTTTTTTTTTTTTTTCTTCCGTTGAAGCACTAATTGTTGAGCACATGAGCAAATAAGAGTCAAAGTTAAAGTAATAATTAATTTAATTAAATCATACTTTAATATGAATTCCGTAGCTTAGCTAGGTTAGGATATAAAATTGTTTTCTACTGCAATTGTTTTTTTGAAGTTTCGTGATCTGGTCAGAAGAGAAAAAATGTTACATCGGGTGCTTATTTCACATGCTAAATATATTACAGTCAGTATAGATATAGCTGGCTTTGACTTTATAGCATGCAAAAAACTTTCTAAGAATAATCAACATGGTACTGGAAACCAGTAGAATAAGTTGGTAATAGCTATATATGTTTAGTACTATAATTAAAACATTAGTAAATTTTGGTTATGATAACAAAAATCTTCATGGAACAGACTTCACTTAATTAATTCAAGTAAAATAGTAGTGTTGTTGTTCATCAATTAGCCCAAGGAAAGAAAAGAAAAAGAAGACTGAATTAAGATCAGGAGATAAATCTGAACCTGATTGATACATTGCAACTATATATATATATATATATATTTGCAAAGTTTTCTCCTCATAAAAGCCTGGCACTATATAGATATAGATATAGACGTCGGTGAATTTTATAAGTATCATTACGTCTCTCTATGCAAGAAACACGGTTATAGCGTCAGCTAGCTGTCCAGCAAATTTGAAGTATGTTTTTCTCTTTTTTGTGATGTCTCAACTCTCAATACATATTGCTGGATTACGCGGTGAAATTCTGTGAAGCTTGGTTGTCTCCAATGTCCAACCAGCGAATAAGTGAATCCATATGAAAATCAAATCAAATAAAGATATTCAAAAAAACACAGTACAATTATTTGCCGTTGATTGCCAAAATTAAGACATCTGGCTGTGATGATAAAAGCTGTAGTGGGAAAAACTGTGGCTATTGCAACTTCATCTATACAACAATGGAACCAGTTCATATTTTTGCAGACAGAAAAATATGGTCAATTGGCAAGGAGGGCAGTGGTGTAAAGTGTAAACAGGAAAAAAAAAAAAAAAAAAGAAGAAATGATACCACTACAATAAACATGTTGTTGAAAAGATTATAAGAAAATAAAGGAGAAATCATCATTATTAGAGTCATATGGATCCATTAATGCTACTAAACATGCAAAGAATATTGTCGAGAGCCATAATTACTGATCAGGAAATCAACAGTCAGCAAAATATTAATTACCTGAATCACTTGCAAATAATCAGAGAGAGCAAAAGTGCTGTGAGGTGTGAAAAACAGACTCAAGCAGACAATTATATTGAAATTATTCACATGAAGACTCACTGCTCGCTTTCATACAATTTCATATAGTATTAACATATATACATCGATCCCATTTATAATCAACTAATCAATTAATTTCCAGTACATCTATAACATCATTTTGAGCATGCATGGAGCCATGGACATCAGTCTTTGATAATCCATAAATGATTAAAAAAAAAAACTTGGGTCAGCCTAACAATGCTACCACTACTTTCACTGAATTGATCATACACCATTCGAAGTATACAAATCATGAGGGTCTAACAATAATTCACTGTCTTCATCAAAAAAATAAAAGAATATAGTACTATATCATAAATGTATTCAATACTACAAGGAATTCTTGTACCCAGTCACCATGATTTTTTTCTTTTCATGTTTGATGGTGCTAGCTAGATAAGGTAGAATGGAAAATATATCATAGGTAAACCTAGAAAACAACCCCACATGTTGATCCATTGGTTATGACGATCTTACCACTAACACAAAATGTTTTTAACACCAAGAAAGTGAAATCCTGAAGTTAATTATTGCACAAAGATCCTCACATCATTTTTAAAAGTATTAATTTCAAATTAAATAAAAGAGCTTTTAGCTAGAAATTAAGGAACTCCATTAACTAATGGCTATTAGATCCAAAGTTCTTTTTCTTGATTCTAAATAAGTAGTTTGTTAGATTTAGTGCATGTAAATTTACCTAAATAACATAGTCATTATCATACCTTAAAACATTTTTGATTGAATCTAAAGAAATGTGCTTAATCCATATGCATATATATATATATATATATCTGCATGTATATGGTAAAGCTTTAAGTTAAATTTAAGTCCACATCACATAATATATAGGAATATAATTAATTAAGAAATAAGTCGTATTGAATTATTCTCATAGAGACAATATGAACAAGGAAAACTCGCATTACAAGCCCCTCAAGCTCAACTTACAACGAGACAAATACAACCAGTTAAATAAAGACTTGTTTTTAACAAGTATGAACATAAATAGAAATCGGGCTCTTGAATAATCCATATATATATATATATTATATATATATATAAACAATTCATGTATAATACATTCAAACAATTACTTTTGTGGGTAACAAATAAACAAAATCTAGCTTATTTAGCTTAAGCCATAACTTGAGCTAGGTAGTTAGTACTAAACTTAAAATGTAAGAAGCCATGCTTAAACATGTCAAAAATCCGCTAGATCTCGTTTCGCTTCAACCTACTCCTATATTTTCAAGATAGGACTCTTTCGTCCATCTCCTTGACAAATATTGCCTGTTTTAGTTTTGCGTGGAAGGAAATCATTTTAAAGAGTATGGCTCCCATATGGTATCCATCTTTTTCACTCATTTAACTCATTAGTCAATTAAACTTGTGGGATTGAAGCTCCCACAAATGCGTTCATTAATGTGTATGGATAGCACTAGACATGCAGACCCAGGGTCGACATTTATATGAAGAGATTGGTCCATGTATGTAAGTGAAAGGTACGACACTTTGAAGAAGTCGAGAGGCATTAGCAAGAATGGACCATTTCCAAAAGTGTCCACTATGAATCTATATGTTGTTCCATCTCGAAACACTATCGCTTGTGGATCGTTTGCTGCGTAGATTTTTTAATTTCTTTAACTACCAACAAGACATATCTAGATCTTGAAGCTTTTTATTCATGGTGCTTTTGAAATGTGCTTTCATGGTCACCTCTTAATGATAACAGAATGGCATGAGAAGAAAATAACAATATAGTGGAAGCTCTCTTTTCCTAGCAAAAGATCAAGCCTCAGTGGGCAAACAGAAGAGAGAAATCCATAGAACTAAAAAGATATCGATCTCATAGAAAGAGAGTTCTAGGACAAACCTCTCAAATAAAGCTTCCTCTTCTCCAAAAACATGAAAATTAAACAAGTGATCTGCTCGTAGCTGACTTGTCTATATGTGATCTTCTCTTCTGAGCTTGTTTAGTAGTGCTGTGATGAGAGCGTCTCTCTTCTCAGCCCTAGCTTCTTCTCTCATTCTTCTTTGCTCTTCCCTTTCTCTCCATCTTTTATCCATCATTATCCTTTCATTCTCCAATGCTTCCATGGTCTGTCTCCATTCCATCTCTTTCAACCGCCTTTCGTTTTCCCTTGCCTCGAACGCTTCTCTCCATTGCATTTCCATCTGCATCTGCTGCCTCATGAAATCCTCTAAAATCTCCTTTATATTATTGCTGCTTCCGCTTGTACTTCCACCAATACCTGCATCCGTTTTACCTTTTTTCTTCTTCCTAACGCTACTCTTATCTAACTCGTTTTCCTCCATATCTTCTTCCTCATCTGAAGTTAGCTGCAACGCCTTCTTTTTCGAGCCGGTCGCTGCGCCTTCACCTTCTGACCATAGAATACTTTGCATCCTTGCCGAGAATATGGTCTGTAACTCATTGTAAAATGGGAATTGTTGCCGCATAGCTTCTGCTTCCATTGTTTCATATCCCTGAACACCATCAGGTAATAGAAAACACTACCCATATGAGAGATATAGATAATAGGGTTTTCAGGATATATATTTTAGCTGAACAAGACAGAGAAACAAAGTTTCCTGGAAACGTAATCCGTTGCGTCAAAAAAGGGTTAAATCGAATATCAGATACCTTGTATCGAGTAACGAGGTTTTTCCACTTGCACTTGCACTGTTCAGCGCTTCGATTATAACCCTTTTCCCTCATCCTCGTAGAGATAACTTCCCAAAGTAGCTTGTTCCTCTTGGTCTCCATGAAACTTCGATCTAGATCTGCTCTGATCAACAGGAACTCCTTAGTCTCCTGAATACTCCATTGAGGAAATCTATCAGTATCAACGTTAACACTAATAGGCTGTTGCTGATGATATTGCTGCTGCTGCTGCTGCTGCTGCTGAAGATGATGATGATGATGGTGAAGGTGTCCCTCCATTACAACTATCACACGCAAACTCGACAAAGCCGCAAGATTATTAAGTCTTTCTTTTGCACCCACCAAAAGGATTATTGATCCGAAAAGAAACAGAAAAGAAGAAAAGATGGAGAGAGGGAAAAAAAAGCAAAGATTTCTATGGAAACGGTGTGAAAAACAAGTGTGAACCCTCGTGAAAAATAAAAAACCCTGAAGAAACTTAAAAGAGAGAGAGAGAGAGAGAGAGAGAGAGAAGGGTTGATAGATTTGCTATAAGCTTAGGTGTCAAAGAGAGCGTTTTTAGTCTTCGTTCAGATTCAAGAAAACGAAACCAAATATTAAAAAAAAAAGAAAAAAGAAAAAGGAAAACGAAACCAAAGGAAGCTTTGCTTTCATCTCATTCTTTTCTTCCTACCAACAGTCTCTCTATCTGTCTACGCGGAAACTCTTTCTCTCTCTTCTATCCCTTTTTTTTATTATTTTTCTTTTTAGATATACGATAATTCTTTTTCTTATCCCCATTTCAGTCCATTTGTTCCCATTGCGTTCACGTGCCGTCAGGCTGACGATGCACTTGAAAGTCTTACTGTTGCCGGGGGCTTTATTATCTGCAACCAGTCATACATAATTTGTATTACAAGTTTTTTTTTCCTTTTTTATTAGTATTATATATTTGCTTATATTAATTTATATTGTCAACTTTCTGGTATATTTATTCTCTTTTCTTTTGAACCTGTGTGCCGCAGCGAAGGTGACGAGAATAGCTTTCCCAGGCTATACGGGGAGGCGGCAACGCTTTTTATTTTTGCATGGATTTCCAAAAATATAAAAGTGGAAAAAAGATAAAATGGTGTATACTTTACAATTTTTTCCTCCAAGGTTGAATTAATTTAACATTTCCGTTATTTTTAAGCCGTTCATTTTTTTTCTTTTAATGATGTTCATCTACGCGTTTTTCAGTCACTTCCCACATGTAGATGCCTCCCCCCCACGATCCACGTGGCATGCATGCAGGGTGAGGGAACAGTAAGGACCCAGTGGCCACACATGTACACCTGTAAGCCTATGACTATGAACCATTCTAGTTGTAGTCCTCTTTCCCAAGTATTGGAGTATGACCCATCACTTTTAGTATTTATTTGTGCGAGGGGTGGCCAAAGAATAATCTGATTAGAGCTCGTAATTGGCAATTAATCTGAAGAATTTAAGGATGAAAAGAGTAAGTAAACAATAACTAATGTATTACTTTGGTATTTCATTGGGCAGAAAGAGTTTGGAGCGAGTTTTTTAATGTATGCGTGTGGTATTGAGTTTATGCTATCTCATCATCATCGTATGCACCATCCACGTACTATCAGTTTTCAAGCGAAAAAGAATGAGAGTTATTATTACTATATTTAAAGATTTCAATCTTCCGTCCAATAGAAATAACTAATTAAATTTTGTTTATAATTGGACATTGCTATCTTTAGATTTCTTAATTGTTCTTTAAGTGAAAAAGAGAAAATAGAATCTTTTAAAGGAGAAAAAGCAACCAAATCTTTTAGTTCTTAATATTTAATTTATTTATATAATTATTATAAAAATTAAAAATTAAAAATTTTAATATTTATAATTTTTTTTATTTCAAATTATGAATTAAAATTTATAAAAAATATATATACCACAAAAAATTTCAAATTAATTAATGTTTTGAAGAAAATAGTTAGTAATCTTATATACTTTTTTTTGTTTATTTCTTTGTTCTATAATACACCCTTTTGTTTAATTCATTGATTATGTTACACGACACGAGATTAATATACTTGGATTTATTTAGAGTATAAATTAACTAGTTGGTAATAAAAAATAGTGGACTGTGGAGTACAAGTTAAGCTTGCCTTGAAGTTTCAAAATTATTTTTTAATTCATTGTCAATTTGTTGTATATTCACTTAAAACTTCCAAAAATAAAGCTTTCTGTTTCGAAGATTAACACGTTTTTTTTTTTTTTTTTTAAAACAAAAACCAAATTACACTGCAAAAAATTCTGATGCAATTGTGAGGATTAATTGAGTGGAAAATATCCACTTTCTAGTCAAAGTTTTTTTTCCCCTGAATAAAGACACGTGGAGCGGTACCAAGATTTGTCGCCGGACGACCCGGAGGTTTCACAAATGGATAGAAAGGTAAGTCATTTGAGACCTTGACCAACTTTTGAGAATTCTATTGGCTGGCAAAGGCAGTAATCCATTGACCGCCATCTGGATTTTTTTACGTCCTCTTTTGTAGCAAAAACCCGTTGCTTTCGTGGCGATGAATTTTTCTTTTTTCAATTTTTGTTCATATAACTTTTCCCTTTGATTGGAATTATTGAGATTAGAAAGACCAAGTCTTTTTATTTTACGTTTACCCTAAGTACTTTGGATAAAAAAGCATATATTCACATCTTAGCCTCTAAATAAATATTTCCATGATCAATATTTTGAGATGTTCATAGTTCATACGAGTGCAGCAGTATCCAACATTATATTCTTTTAAAGTTGATTGATGTGCTCTAGCATTTTATATTTTATCCAAAGAAAAACATATCTATTTATCAACTTTTGAATACTGCTGATAGGCTGTTGGGTTGGTGAAGGTAAAGATCTGTTGGGAGTTATGGTGGTGAATCTCACAAATTTGTTGAGATCAGAAAAAGAAAAGTCAGGGGTTCAAAGTTTGGACATCAGGGTGCGTTCTAACATTAAAATCACTAACTGCTTGAGGAAGCAAAATAAGGGGAAACTAAAGAGTTATAGAAAATGAGAGAATGATGGGGTATGGGATCCCTTACTCAGCTTTTACGTATGTTTTTCATACTTTGCATGGAACTTCTCATATATAATTTAAGTGTTTTTATCCGTCTATTTATATCATATAAAATATTATTAATTTATATATTTATATTATATTTTATACAAAAATTACATATTAACATAAAAAATATATTTTAATTTTATTAAATCATTACATTCATTTAAATTTTTAATCCGAGTTATTTTAATATTTTTTTATTATTTTTATATTATATTTTAAATTATCAAATCTATTTATAATATACGAAACATTAAATAATAAGCATTGGACACATGGCAATCCGAACTGTTTTCCTCTTGTGGGGCCTCACGAGCCTGGTTTATTGGGCCTAAGAAATACTTTTTGCTTTAAAATTGTTTTTTTGAATTTCTTTTCTTGTATACGAATGATCTTGCAAACCTCACCGACATGTTAAAAATTATTTAGAAAAAATAATACAAGTTAAGATAAACTATTTCAACAAACCAATCGATCACGTATTTTAATTAATGGAAATTCTATGGTTTTATTGACTATAATTCCACATTTATTAATTAGATAAGTTTGAACATAATTCCACATTTATTAATTGGATAAGGTTGAACGATATCACATTCATGTGAAATCATCCCTATTATAACTAACATGATCACAATCAAAATCCATATTAAATATGAAGCTATTTATGCCAAATAAAAGGGAATAAAGGTATTAGCAAAGGAACTTTCTTTTGATCCTTCCTATAATAAAACTATTATTAAAATAGAAAAATCGTGTAAACTAACAATGAAGAAAGTTACTGTAAGTCGATGAGAAAGCGAATTTTCTTTTATTTAATATATATGCTGTTCCATCATGGTGAGAACATATCCAATTTATGGCACACAGAATTTTCAACAATTCTTAGATTTTTTTTTTTTTTGACGTAAGTCATGTGAGTAAGCCAGGTTTTTAAAATTCTACAATGCGAAAATTATGATGCTCATTAATTTCAACAGAAGTATTTTCATGAATTTCTTGGTGGGTAAGTTTCCTTCCTGGATGAAGCTTTTTATATTCAGTCCACATGGGGCTGTGGAAATGCAGAAACACATGCCCAATAAAATCCAGACTTCATTTTTGGTCGTTTTGGGCCCCTACTAGAATGTTGAGAGTGGTAATCCAATTTTAAGTGAAAGAGATTTCATCCTTATCTTCCAGGCTTGAAGTTTACTTGCAATTTCATGCAATTTTATCTGCCCTGGATTTTCAAAGTGGCTTCTTTATCTTTCATATTTCCTTTGCTTCTTCTACAGGGACGGGTCATACAATTGGAAATTGCCTGGAAAACGGAGGAGAGACCTTTGGCTTCTGGACTAGGGAACCCTTCAAAATTTGCCATCTTAATTCTCATTTCTCAACATTGAAACAGCCCTTTTCCAATTTCCACGAAAAGGTTGTTCAACAAGCATTATTGCACCAATATATCTGTTGCACGTATAGTTTTCAGGATTTCATAATCCTTCAAATGGAATACAAGTTTTCTTGCATTAGAAACTACAAATCCCTTTATTTTTCTTGACCCAAATGCTGCACTTTGTCCTTGTTTTCGTAAATTTCTTTACCTCTTAATATGGTTCATTAAAATAATCAGACCAAGATGATGAGATGCTGATTTTTGTATGCTTCCACTACTAAAGACGAAAATTCAGATAACGTGCTTCAGAAAATGCCGACACTAAATCTGAAGAAACACTAAATGAGTAAAAATTCCAAATCGAAAAGTTTTCAACCGCTTAATTAATTTGTCTTTAGCCTGAGCTTAACGGTGACGATAGCTCGTGCCTAGCAACATCAAGTCATTTTAATGACAGGTGATTCACCTTACGTATAATAAAAGCATATTCTTTTATTTCCCTACAATCTTCACTTTAACGTCTCAACTTTGCCTCGCTTTTTTCAGGTTGAATCAGAGCTTCTGTAGGGCCACTGGTATTTTCCATGCAGGCGGAAAATAAGGTGAAATCTCTTTCCTCTGCGTTAAAGCATCGTTTTTAGCATTAGATTGATGAATCATAAAAGATATTGAGTTAGTCGTCTTGAACGCATATCTTACACTTCAAAATAACGTACAGATACAGAATAACATTAATGAGACATTTAAGCATGTGTCCGAGTCTAGGTAACATGGTTGAAAAATAATGTACTAGTATCTTTGGCTTCCTCAAGAAATGAGAGTAATACAGGGCCATGTGATAATTAGCCTAACTTGACAACTATTGCAGCGGGACTCTGCCGTTGCCAACTTAAAAAGCAGCAAATTATGTGAAGCAGATTTCAATTCCACAGGAAAAAATTAAAAAAAAAAAAAAAAGGGGCCAGAACTTGGGATATCGACAAGATAGATAATTGATATATGCAGCAGAGAAAAGTAAGGTGGCCTTTGTGAAATCAAAGAGGACCATCAATCAAACAAGGTTTCTGATAATTTCCAAACAGGTATGGCCGTATGGGGTTTCCTCCAAAACAATAATCATGAATTACTTGAAATCAAGTTCTGTTGATCACAAATGCAAGCAACAAAGGCTAAGCCGGCTGATAGAGGGCCAAATGAGACCCACTTTGGACAAGAGGTCCCTTCCTGAATATGAAATGTCATGGAACCAAAAAGAGAAAACAAGTGGCATCTTTTCTTCTTCTCAATTCTCCTGCTGTCTTTTCTTCCATTTTGCACATTGCTCCTACAGTCCTACAGTCTTTTCCTAAATTTTTTTAGGTATAATTTCAATGTGATATTAATGATTTAAAATTTTAATTTTCACCCAAGTTTTGTTATTCTTTCAACAAAAAGGTTAAGGTCTATATATCATCATAAATAATCTTCACTCTCACTGATTTTTTTTTTCTTTATTAGCATAACCAGCATAGTTTTGTAATTTTAGTTTCAATTTGTAAACAATGGGCAGAAAATTGATTCCAAGAGCCATCACACAATCCAAATTTTCTTACTTTTTTTGTTGGTATGAGATAAATTATTATTTATGAGGATACCTCAACAATTATTATTAAATTTATAAGATACCAAATATAAAAATATTATTAAACATAGTTTGATAACTTAGCAATCATTATTATTAAAAATTTATAAGATATCACATTAAAAAAAAATTCTGAATTAAATGTATATTGCAATACTCATCCAACACTAATTTCCCATAAAAATCAATATAAATTTACACATAAAAATCAAACCCAACAAATCCATAACAATTAAACCTCAATAAACCTAGCAATATAACAAATTTTTAATTCAATAATCATTATAAATTATAAATAAAAAAAAAAAAGAGAGAGAGAAAGGAGAACTTAGGGAATAAAAAAAGATGATAGTTAAAAAAAAAAAAAAAAGATTCTGGTTAAAGAAAGGGCCTGATAATAAAATATACTCATTAATTCATGTCGAAGTCCTATCATTCCGTCTGTTTTCTAGTTGTTCGTTAAAATGCCCACAAAGCCCCCGATATAACGCAAACACTGAACCAACCCATACAGGCACCCACCTACCCCACCCTGGCTATCTTTTCCCACTCCAGCGTCCCGATTCCATTTCTCTCTCTTCGATTAGCCGACAAAATTCACAGAACCAAAGAACATCCACACTTAAAAAACATATAATACTAATTTATTTATTTTAAAATTAAAAAAGGAAAAAATATCAAAAGACGAAACTCTCACTAATGTGTCTGCTCCCTTGCCGTACTCACTGATTCCTCATTCTCTCTCTCTGAATCACTCTCTTTACTTTGATTCCTCTCCATGGAAGCTAGCAAGCTAGGGGTTGGTTGGCTTTTGAACCATAATGTGAAACCCTAGCTAAGCATTTTTAGTTGCGGCTTTTTTGGGATCTTGGTTCGAAGAGATACGGACAAAGGATAAGACTGCTTTTGACAGAATGGGGAATTGTTGTAGATCTCCGGCGGCCGTTGCAAGAGAAGACGTGAAATCGAACTTCTCCGGCCACGATCACGCCCGTAAAGATTCCGTTTCCAAACAGAAGCCGCCGATCACCGTACTCACTGGAGTTCCTAAGGAGAACATCGAAGAGAAATACCTAGTTGATTGCGAGCTCGGCCGAGGTGAGTTCGGAGTTACTTATCTTTGCATCGACCGCGGCACGCGCGAGTTGCTCGCGTGCAAGTCAATCTCGAAGAGGAAGCTGAGGACTGCCGTGGATATTGAAGATGTGAGACGAGAAGTTGCGATTATGAAGCACTTGCCGAAGAATTCGAGTATCGTGAGTTTGAAAGAAGCCTATGAGGATGACAATGCGGTTCATTTGGTGATGGAGCTTTGCGAAGGTGGTGAGCTTTTTGACAGGATCGTCGCAAGAGGACATTACACAGAGAGAGCCGCCGCGGCTGTGACGAGGACGATTGTGGAAGTGGTTCAGCTTTGCCATAAGCATGGAGTGATTCATAGAGATTTAAAGCCTGAAAATTTTTTGTTCGCTAATAAGAAAGAGAATTCACCATTAAAAGCTATCGATTTTGGGTTATCGATATTTTTCAAGCCAGGTAAGTTGTTTGAAATTTGAATGTATAGATAAATGAGTGCCTTTCTAAGAATGCACCATACTTAGTTAGAATTATTTAATTATGTAGCAAATATGGTATTTTTCCAAGCTGGGTTTTGATTTTGCCACGGAAACATTTGACTCCAAAGGAAAAGTACCCCGAAAGAATGATCTAAGTTATCGGATTGGACATGCCGAAAGGCTATAGTCTTTGCCCATTTATTTGTTTATGGTCTTTGTAGTGACGAAATACGCACTTTGATCATTTTATTTGGCTATGCTTTCAAGGTGGCTTTTATGAGTTACATCAATGTTACTAGGCTCTTATTTTACCTGAAAGGAACAAACAGAAGAATGAGGTAGTGCATGGTTCGGCCTTATTAACAGCAGTTTTTTCCTGTATGCTGTCTGTGCTATTGTATTAGAATCACTTTTGATTCCTTTCCTCTTATTTTGGAAGTTGGAGACCTGCTTTTCTTACAATTTGTGGTCTTGTTTTTAGTAGTTATTTGGCTTTTTTTTCTTTTTCATTATCTATCCCAATCTAACACTTTTGTGTCCTTGTTCATATCTGTTCATCTCATTAAAAAATATATATCTTTCCTTCTCCTTGGTTTAATTCTATAACAACGTATTAATGTTTACTTACCACAAATTGAAGCATGAAATGAGACTTTGTTGGCCACTATAAGTTTTAGATTTGGAAATGGCCGCAGATTGTCTTTATCTGATTTTTTATGCTAATTTTTTCTTCATACTGATCCATCCACCAATGACCTTTGAGTTGTCAGCATAATGGTGATGGTCAGTCATATTTGTAGCAAGCGCTTTCTCTTAAAGATATCTTGTATGGCCGCACTAAGGGAAACTCTGAACTGTAGCTTTGTTCAGTTGATACAAAGTTTCCTATTTCCTATAGTTGGCTGTCATGGGATAGCATTGGTTAACCTCAGTCGCTAAAGTGTCTCAAATTAAATGAATTTTCCTTCTACAAGGCTAATGCTCGGATTTTGGGATGTTCTAATATGCTATAAACCTTCTGTCTTCTTTGGGATTTGTGAAGATTTTCGTGTTCTATCACCCAAGATGTCGCTGAGTTTGCTTTTATCAATTCTTTTAGTGCTTCAATTGCTTGTAAACTGGAATAGCAGGCACAGTAAGTCCAAGGTTTCCTGTTCAAAAAAGTTTTGCCCCAATTTCACAACTGTAACTATTTATCTCTGCCAAAAGATATCTATGTCTGGTCAATAATTTCTCAGTTTAGATTGCAAAAAACTGCGTGGTTGGGTAGGAAGTGGTGTGGGGAGTACGGTGGGGGTGTGAAAGAGTAAATATTATTCTATGTAGGTTAAGGTCTGTGTACCTATAGTTTGACCGCTTTTCCTTTTATTGTTGTGGATTGTGGTTTTTATTCTTTAGCACTGTGTGCTGATGCCTATAATGTGTCAACTTCAGGTGAACGATTCTCTGAGATTGTTGGAAGTCCATATTATATGGCTCCTGAGGTGCTCAAACGGAATTATGGGCCAGAAATAGATATTTGGAGTGCAGGAGTCATTCTCTATATTTTGTTGTGCGGAGTTCCTCCTTTTTGGGCTGGTTAGTATATTATTTGTGGAATTCCCTTGTCTCTATGCAGGTGCATGTGTATCTGTCGAATGTGCATTAATGTATCAACAGTGAGTTGAATTGTTATTCCTACCTGAGGATTGTTTTTGTTGCAGAGTCTGAACAAGGTGTTGCACAGGCAATTCTTCGTGGGTTAATAGATTTCAAACGTGACCCATGGCCAAATATTTCAGAGAGTGCTAAGAATCTAGTCCAGCAAATGTTGGAACCAGACCCAAAGCTTCGACTCAATGCAAAGCAAGTGCTTGGTACTAACAATTCTTCTTTGCTACTCCTCGCATTATGCTTCAGGGAGGGAGATGGATGGGGATACATAGGTGTTTAGGCATATCCTTTCATGATTCTATTGATCTTCTGATGGTCATTTTCTGCATCTTCAAATATAACATTTAAAACCTTATTGATATCAGCTTTCCAAGTTTACTTCAAAATACTGAGATCCATGCTCCTAATTTTCCCTATATTAAATCTTAATGATTAGTGATAGTTTGACTAATCTATGTATTCACTTTTCTCACAGAGCATCCTTGGCTCCAAAATGCTAAAAAGGCTCCCAATGTTCCTCTTGGCGATGCTGTTAAGTCAAGGCTTAAACAATTTTCAATGATGAACAGATTCAAAAGAAAAGCCCTGCAGGTTGGTTCACTATTACTAAGAATTCAGCTAGGTCATTTGTTTTTTCCATATCTAGGGGAATCTTAAAAGTTAATTTGAATTAGGTTATTGCTGAGTTCTTGTCTGTTGAAGAAGTTGAAGACATCAAAGAAATGTTCAATAAAATGGACACCGATAATGATGGCATTGTTTCAATTGAAGAGCTGAAAGCTGGATTTAGAAATTCTGGTTCGCAGCTTGTAGAGTCTGAAGTGCAGATGCTTATTGAAGCTGTGAGTATCTTTTTGGTTAATACTTTGCCATAAATTAACAAGTGTTATGATACGTTATTTTCTTGGTTTGTACATTTCTCATCAAAAGAGCAGTCGTATTTCTTTTCTCATCAAAAGAGCTGTCGTATTTCTTTTTTCTCAGTACATTTGCCTTTTGCAAGTGAGGTCAATTGATCATAAGAACTATTAGTTGACCAAGACTTGTCATAATTGAAACTTATTTTACTTGGGTTGGAGGCAACCTAGGTAGGATCTTTAACTAATTTGAGCTGAATTATTTGGTATCACATCATTTATGGTATCAGAATATATTATGTTTATGCAGTTGTAATAATTCATGGATCTCCAGTTGTCTATCATACTAGTTTCTTTATCAGTATTAACTTTATTCTCTGCCCAGCTTTCTTTCTTTTTTTACAAAAAAAGAAAATCCTTTGAAGTTGTTTGTGCGTCATAGAGCGGCCTTGAAGAAGCTGGATGTCTATGATAGTTTAAGTAACAATTTGAAGAAGTGGATGACCTTTGCGCACCAATGTCCTCACCTCCTGCAATTATAAGCATGCACAGACAAAAACCATAATAATAGGGAGGCTGAGATTGCCTTGTAACCAGTGTTACTTCATTTTCGAAGAACCTGTTTTAGTTTTTGAAAGAATAGACTTTTCTTTTGGAAAAGAGAGCATTTAGCTGCTAGTCAGCAAACATTCTAGTTTCTCATGAAGGATTTCTACAGTAGTTGATGAGAGAGTTTACTTTAGTGGTTTCTATAGTTGTAATTTTTTGGTGTTGATATCAGAGTCCAATGGTAATGCTACTTCCCTCCTTTTATCTCTTTTCCTGACTGTTGGTCAATTTTCAATTTGAAAGACACTCACCTTTCGCACTTGTAAATGTGGCTGTGGTACTCTGGCTGCATTCCCACATATCCAATTTTAACATAGATAGTGGCATCATGGCTTAGGTTCATGTTACTTTTGATTTTCAATACTAAAAATGTGTTTCTTGACAACAGGTTGATACCAAAGGGAAAGGAACATTGGACTACGGGGAATTTCTTGCCGTTTCTCTCCATCTGCAAAGAATGGCCAATGATGAGCATCTTCGAAAGGCCTTTTCCTATTTTGACAAAGATGGGAATGGTTTCATTGAGCCTGATGAGCTTCGGGATGCATTAATGGAGGATGGAGCGGATGATTGTACTAATGTTGCAAATGACATCTTCCAAGAAGTGGACACAGACAAGGTGATGACCCAATGTTTTGTCACAAATAAATTCATTTAGCATGCTTCAATTTGAATGACAATTCTTTTGTAAATGTAGGATGGACGGATTAGCTATGATGAATTTGCAGCCATGATGAAAACTGGTACAGATTGGAGAAAGGCATCTCGACATTACTCGAGAGGGAGATTCAACAGTCTAAGCATAAAGCTAATGAAGGATGGTTCTCTGAATTTGGGGAGTGAGTAGAATCATACTAGTTCTCTGCTTAGTTCATCCTTGCAAGAAAAGTACTGGATCATTCCTTGTATATCTCGGACTTTGCTTTTTCTTGTGATTATTTGCGGATGGGGGCTTTTCATAAATGGGGTCCTTTTGCCTGGTGGTTTACAAGGTTTGTTGAGGGCCGAGTACATCTTGTTTGTCTCTGCTAATGTTAATTGCGGAGAACGCCTTGTGGCCATAGACGTTTATGATTCTCTCCTACCACTACCAACCTTTTGATTATTGTTTCTTGTTGACAACATGGGATTGAGTTGTGTAGTGCCTAGTATATTCTTGTCCAAAGAAATATGGTATTGGAATCGAAATGGCTTTCACATAGGCATTCTTGCACATGTCTGGCACCTGTTTGGGGCATTTTTGCACATGCTAATTGCCTTGCACTTTCTCTCACTTGGGATGCTTTTGTTTGTATTATCGTTGAACTATGCCCGTTGTTGCATAAGATAGGCGTCAGGTTCGCAGTCCACAGGACTGGAGTTTTCGTAAATTGCTTTTTTTTTTTTTTTTTTTTCTGGATAAATGATGTTTTCTTCATCCAAAGTAGGCAAACATAATACAATGAAAACATCTGCACTAGACAGCACATTTGTTTTAGCGGCTTAATTACAGCAAAAAGAAGTAATCACTAAAGCATATCTTGCTCCAAATTCCAGTTTCTAATAAGCGTCTATCTGCTCTGCTTCCATCAACGGGTTCTTAGTCAGAACAGCCTCTTTGACTTGATTAAGAACTGAATAAGTATTAACTGTCTTGCCATGATGCCAAGTAGAATTCCTCTCCATCCATACAAAGTAGAGGTAATTACACCAGGCCAGTCTAGGCACTACAACGATCCTCGCCTTCTCTTTGAGTCTCTGCTGCACCCATCTAAATTCACTAGACCACTCTTGAACTTGTTTATGAATTCCACACAACTGAAGAATCTGCTGCCAAATCTGCTATGTGTAGTCACAAGAAAAAAAAATGATCTTTTGTTTCCAAGCTTTCAAAAAAAAAAAAAAACAATTTGTGTTAGCTAGGGAAATCCCCCAAAACTCGTGTTCGACTCGGGGAAAGCTTGATTTTTTTCCCTGGTTATCTCTCCAGTCCGAGATCAACTTGGTAGGCGGATTTTAGCCCATTGTCTGTCGCAAAAAGCTTCACTGCTTCAGTACAAACCGTTTAATAGTCCACTGGACCCGAGGCTTCGAAAGTCGGCGATAGAAGTTACTACTCTGAGCGTGTCTTTGCGGCCCACGATTATTTCTTTTGTTGGTATTCGGGGAAAGCTTTTTGTTATTCAGATTTCTGACCGTACCTCTCCAGCCCAAGATTAGCTTGGAATGCGGATTTTGGCCCATTGTTACAGAAGGTTCAGTAAGACTCCACTGGGTCATAGTTTTCGAAAGTCAGCGAAAGAGGTTGATTTATCTGTCTGCCTCAGGACAAGTTCAACTGCTATTCTGTCCGTATCTTTCCAGCCCAAGGTCAGCTTGAAGGCCCGATTTTCTGTCGAAGCGTAATTGCATTTCTTGGCGATTTAGTCGACTACAATACGGGCCGAGGCACTAAGAAGACCTAATTATCATCGAGTTCCGGATGAATTGTGATTCATGTGAAAGTTGATGACTTTGGCATGTGAAAATTCTCTCTGAATAGTTAGGATGAACATAAATATTCAGAAATCACTAAGCGCCAAAAGGCATCCGGTTTTTTTCCTTTTCATTCTTTATATGGATAACTGAATTTATCCAGCTATCAAGGTCGGAACTTAGCATGTTGATTGAGCTTAGTAGGTAGTTAATTCTTAATAATAGCATTTGGAGCCTTCTTCCTAATTGTCGTCTTGGTTCAATTGTAATCCGATAGTGATAAGGGAAAGGAATAAAATTTTTGTGAGACAGCAAAAAAATATGAAGCTTTTATGTTCTCACGCTTTGTTGTAATTGCACAGATAGATGCTTCACAGTCTTTGTTGGGCGCAAAAAAGTTGTGATCCCTCAAGTCTTTATCATGCAACGTAATCCACATCGAAGGAGCCAAATAAAATCATCTTCAATCGTTCTGCAATCTGTACTAACGTGCAAAAATTCTCTTTTTAAACACTTCCAATAAGTCACAGTGCGCCAGTCTGCTAGAAATGCAAGTCTTTGGATCAATTTCTACATGGCATAATTGACATTGTTGAGCAACTAGCTCGATTTGCATGAGTACAAACCAACCAGGCCTAAGGCTTTTTTGTTCACCATTAAATTAAATATTGTGGTTTTTTAATATGTAGTCCATTTTCTGGGGCTACAAACTCTAGAGATATAATATATATGTCACTCGTTGAAATTTGAAAAGCAACTTGAAAACTTCTACGTTGTAAAATTTGGATAAGGTATTGTGGGATTTGGTAGGCTTGCTTTTATAGGTAAAAGGAAAGCTACCGAAGAATCTATTCAATGTAAAGTTGGGACGATTCCAAAGACAGGGTATCTAAAATGGAGCAATGTATAATTTTCTATGCAGTTTTAGATACACATGCCATAATATAAATAAGCAGCAAATTTAACTGAATAGTCAAAACTTCAAAAAGCACTAATAAGCGAAAAGATTGAAATTCTTACAATTTAACTCATCGATCTAGATCAGTTTAGTGGTTACTTGTAGAACTTGTTCACTTGCACTCCAGGACTTTTGCATGGAAAAAAATGAAGAGGTTTTTTTTTTTCCAATTCCTTTCAATAATTCTTATCTCGTCTAACCCACACGAGGCATTGCTTTTTCAAGAGCTACAAACAGACTTCAAGGCCATATCAAACCAGGCCAATGTCAGCACACAAGGTTTTCCTGGAAAACATTGCCGTAGCACAAAGGACATTGGAGAGTCCTTAGCCTGATTCCTTCGTTAAAATCAAGCTGTTCATTGAGGGAAACAGGGCCGTCTTGGCCTGTTAAGTAAACATGCTCGACAATATTGTTCAGACTCAAGGCTCAGGATTACCTAGAAATATGTACACTGCTCTTCTGTACTCGGAAACTTGCCCTTTTTCTCTCACAATAAGTAAAATTTTTCGGTCCCATTAATTTCATATTTGAGGCAACAACCATGCAAGGCTGTTAAGATGAAGAATTGATAATCAAGCAAGTATTCTTCGCACTCTCTCTTGTAGATAACTAGCAAAGTAGGAATCCACTCAATTTGTATTTGATTCACTTTGGGTTAATTCAAGTGATCATCGTATATTACAATGTTATATACGCAGACGAGAAGGGAGTTTAAGAATTTACTGACTACTTTTTTTAAGTTAATAACTATCATGTATTTTTTTTATTAAATATTTTAATTAGGTAACACAATATCAATTTATTAATGTATAAGTAAATCAATCATATATACAAACATATTAACATCTCAAAATAAATTATTTTTAACTAGTCAACAACTTTTAACTAAGTAGTTAAAGAAAGAGTTATGACATATTGTAAGATTTAAATTGGTTTTAACTGCATGGCATGTGAATTAATGTACCTTTTTTATTCGAATTTCTGATCCTACAATAGAAGGAAAAATTACTTTGGGGCTACCAATGCAAAGCCCATTATCAAATTTCTTTAATTTTGGGAAATTAATTACTTGCCCTAATTCTATCTTATCCTTGGCAATAGAAAAGAAGCCAGCCGAGAACTAGTTATGCATGCTCACACAAACTAAGACAATTTAATTAAATTGTATCAACACTTTGACCAAAAACGAAACTCTTTAAACAAAGTATAAGATAATTTAACTTATATTAATGTAGTCCTAATATAATTTTAATTTTTAATCTATTTTAATTATCTTAATAATCTGTGATTTATTCATTCTTAGAACTTAAAAGTTCTAAGAGTTTTTTATTACTTAATGTTATCACTATTATAATAGTATTTCATCTGAAACTGTGAAATATTGTATTTGTATCTATTATCATTTTTGGATATGATTTTCTAACTCAAATTTTTTTATTCTTTATAATTATAGTCTACAGATTTTAATGTTATCATTTTTTTTTATTTTTTAATTTTGGAACAATATAATTTTCTATACTTAATCATTACTATTTATTGTTTAACATTCTCTTTTCATTCATTATCATTTGCATTAAGTAAAATTTAATTTGTTTTACTATCTTTTACAATTCTACATGTCTTTAACTAATAAAATATATTAATACGTATACAATTTCTACCATTTATATATTATATTATATTTTTTAAATAATAAGATTTTAAATTCTCAATATATAATTTTATTTTATTTTTTGTAAATGCATGTAAATATAACATGCAAAACCACATGCAACGCATGTAACAAAAAGTCTAATAGAACAAATAAAAGTAGTCGTTGGACAATATAAAGATGAAAGAGGAAGAAAAAAAAAAAAAAGGAATTAGATTGATAAGATAAGATCAAACTGTTTTTAATTGAAAACTTACATTTTAACTCACACTTTAATGTTTTGTCAATTATGTCAGTATTAATTGAAAGAGATCATATCTTACATCAAAATATAAACATGCTTAAGTCACTCAAGACGCATCATTAAATGGATGTAAAATATCAAAATTATTGGTAGAATGAAAAAAAACGTGTACTCTACTTTATCTATATGATTAATGTGTGAGTTGAACATATAATAATAATAATAATAATAATAATAATAATAATAATAATAATAATAATAATAATACATTTAAGAAAGTTTATACATTGAAGTGAATCAAATTAATTTGTTTTTAATAGCTGCAAAAATTGATTGAAAAGGGGAAAAAATAGGAATTGAATGGGATGCATCAGGGTTTCTTTTTTATTGGTAATCCTAATTAAGTTTGGTTTTGATAACACAGTAAGCAACTTGAGACAATATCTTCATGCAAATCATACATCTATTGCCTAAAAATAACTTTTTAATGAAGGTTAAAGGACACGGCGCATGTCCTCTTTCAATACATTATTTATTTATTTATTTCAATTGGATATGAAGAGGGAAAGCATGTATAATTAAATATATATCTATATATATATAACGAAAAATTCCGAATATTTGTTTTTCATTTTTTGGGGAAGATTTTAATTTTTATATATTTTTTAAAATTCCTAGGATTTTATTTTTCAGATTTTTTTCAATTTTTCTTTTTCTTTTTTTTTTTGAATTTTTTAGATTTTTTATGGTTTCATTTTTTGGAATTTTTTTCATTTTCATATTTTTCATATTTAATTTTTTTGGTATTTAAGGCAATTATTTCAAATTTTGAAATTTTGAATTTTTTTCTATTTTATAGATTTTTTTCGTTTTTCAAAAATTTTTGAAT